CCACTAAAGGCTGTATAGCCACTACTTCTTCATGGCTGTGGAACTACAAGGTTGCTAACAATTCAGGTCCAATCCAATGCTTGTTGGTATTTTGGCATCTTAGAGAGGGTACTTTACACACCACATGAGGCACAATCTCTCCTGCAGATGCACAATGTTCCTCACTGTGGCAGGTTCAGGACTTGAAGCACTGACCACAAAAGACTGTCTCAGACTGCAAAACGCCAAAACAGTCCCTCACACATCCTGTAAACCTCCTGAGGCTTAAAGACCACCTTTATCTCTGTATAGAAAGATTTCTGTAAAAAGGGGAAATGGAAAGAAGAATGGTTTGCCAAGTCCATTGGTTCCTTTAAGGAAGCCATTGCTTCTCCCTTTTTGAATCACATGCCACACTCGTAACCTTTGGGTAAGCTAAGTGTTTGTCCAAAATGCGTAAGGATTACATTTTGATGAAGAATTATCATTTGGGATGCCAGTTTTCAACAAAGAGAAAAATTCTTTTCCTCTGAGACCAAAATTTTAGAAACAACGTGAACACTGAAAACCTTCCGTTGTTGGGAGTTACCCTTTCTGTCTTTCTTCAGCATCTGTCACTTGAACTGCTAGATTAGGATCATCCTCCAAAAACCCTGTTTTCAATCACGTTTTCCTCTTGTGTCCTCTGAGTAGTCTTAAAGAGTTTGTCTCTTACCAGAGGTCCTTAATATTTTGTCTATCAGACTGAATTTCCAAAGATTCCTACCACTGTTGTCACTCGCTCAGTTGTGCTGCTGTTTCTAACGCTGGGAATGGAACATTCTGGGCTTTCCTAGTGTTTTATATTCCAATCCTTCCCAAAGAAGTCTTACACAAATACATCCTCTACCCAGGCAGAACTTCAACTCATGGCAGAACTGAACCAGAAATAGCAGTAGGATGAAATTTTAGTGGGGAAATCATTGGTACAGTCCCAGGCTGCATTGGGGATAGCCTCAAATGAATGGTACTGTACAAAAACATACATAGTGTGGAGCTGGAAATATCCCACCCTCTTTGCTTCTCTCTAAAGAGAAAAGAGAGAACAGCTCTGTCCCCACACAGAGAAGGTAAGTACTGCATCTTTAAGGTCTCAGCAGTGAGGTAGAGGAGAGGAACATATTGTCAGTGTTTATACCTTTCTTCTTTGTTGAATTTGGGATTGGCTTCAGAGATATCCAGGCTTTTACTGAACATTGTTTTACTATGGCAGGAACAAAGCGAGAAAACACAGTTACTAGTGTGGACATTTTTATAAAAGAGAGTCACCTGTAGCAATGCTGGACACCCAGCCCCCCAACCCATCCTCCCCTTTTTAAGCAATGCTCTGAAAAACCTTTCTTTAACTTTACAGTCATGTCTCACACCTACATAGTGCTCAAGTTCATTATCTTCCCCTGACTTCTGAGGTCTAATATGACTTCCCCCATGCATACTTGTAAACCTTGCTCTCCTTTATCCAATTTAAAACCCAGGTATCACCTACTTTGTCACAGTGTCCAGGGAAAACAGAACACGCCTGAAGGCATTCATTGAAAATCATTTATTACTCACGACTTTTCCAGAAGACCTCAACACTAAGCATGCTCTCAGAAAAGGTTAGAATCAGACCACAGAGCCTCTAAGAGGAACAGTAATCCATTTTGTATCCTAATTTGTAGGGTCCATTACCACTTAACTTCCAACTCTCTTCCCTATACTCAGTGTATAGAGAAATGCACTTCTTCTCTTCTTGGGTCTGAATCCCTGCAGCTTAGAAGTGAAATTCCCTGTGCTTTGCTAAAAGGGCAGCTCTCTGTAATATATTTCACTGGTAATATGCTTCCCTCTTTCACAGAACGCTGCTTCCTAATGTTAGCTGATCTCTCATGCAAGCTCTCCACTTCAAAAACTAGAAGAAAATGAATAGTTAATGAAGCCCATTTTAGAATGGTTTTTGGACTCTCACAGCAAAACTGCTGAAAATTTCTGGTATATTCCCGCTGGATTCTAGCTTCCATGGAATTCTTCCTAATCTGTGTGATTTTAGCACAAGGGACAAATTTGCTGATGTTAAACTAAGCTCAGAACCGAATTCTTTTCTTTTGACATTTCAATGAAATACCAGATAGTCTGAGAGGTGGGGATACCAGAACAGCAGAAGTAATTAAGATGTAATTATGAACCCGTTTAGTTGACAACTAGCAGGGAAACCCAAGAATTAACAAAACTTAGTCACCAGTTTTAGAGGGGCTAGAGTTTGTACATACCAACTTTGCCATTTACAAAGATCCATTGGAGAACACCTGGAGAGGTTGGCACAAGCATTTCAAGGAGCCTGTAAGCTCTTTTCTGTGTTTCCCTTGTCCATTATTCAAAACCAAGTCACTGAAGAACTGTTTTTCACTTAATACTTTCTCAACCTGCAGGGCTGGAGGCCGCCAAGTTTTAAATTTAAGTGGAAAGATATGCCCTAACAAGCTAAGACCAAACACTTGTAGGGCCCCCGCATGGTTACCAAAAGCACAGATCATGATACAGACATGTGAACCCGAGGTTGTAACATAAATCCTCTTTATGCAAGCAAACATCTGTTTACTACTGGGAAAGAGGACAGTAGGAATAAATCTCACAAGACACTTGGGTGTGTTTTGCCCACTGGTTAGAAATGTATCTTTGCCAGCTCAAAGAAGAAGCAGTGGCACTGTGTCTCCAGATGTTTATACAAGTCATCTGTGACTGAACAGGAGACCTGATTCCATGGTCAATCTTCCTAGTATTTTAAGATAAAAGCACTGAATTGCTGCCTCTTGAGATTAAAAAAAAAGTACTTCTTAAAAAAGCATGGGGGCTCTAAACCCTGCTGCTGTAAAACCCACTGTCAGTGGGTCATTTAATGGACTATTATATGCAACTAGCCATTAAAAATCCCCATTCTTGGTGGAAGGCACTTGTCACTTTGTTACTGACTATTCTGACAGATGGTGCCCCATCAGCAGTGCATTGTCCCCGGACACTCCTCATGCAGTGGGGTTCGTTAATGAAGCCAGTTTGAGTTATAAACGACTGTGCTGCCAGCAACACAAAATGTGTCGTTGTCATCTCTGGATGTGGATGGGATGAATTATGGAAGCTCACATGTGGAGTAAAATAACATCTTCCCTTTAACCCCTTAGAAAACAAGCACTACCATGCCTATCATCATCAATCATGGTGTTATTACATCCCTTCCTTCATCCTTAATCACACTTTTATGTCTATTCCTGACTTGTGGTATGCATTGCCCCATATCTCTTTTGTGCCTGCAGGTTTTGTTTCCTCCTTAAGCCAAAGCCCTTCTTTACTGCTGTGCAGCCTGGATATATCTCTACTCTGAACTTATCCCAGATCTTTTCACTTCCTCATGTGCAGAATCGACAGAGACACTTAAAAGCAAAATACTTTGGGTAGCAAGACATAGTTCTGCCTCTTCAGGCTTCTGAATCCAAAGTCAAAGTTCAGAGTTGGAAGAAAAGGCTTCAGCTCTCAGAAAATGCTGTGATCAATTTAACACCTCCTGTTTGTTCCATCCAGTTGGATATTCCTTGTGAAGGAGCCTTGGGGTGGGGGAAAGTGATAAGGCATATCTCTGCCTGGCTCTGGAGCCTCATGTCACATGCATCTCCCAGCAGCAGAGTAAACACTGCAGGTGGAACAAGGAGTCAGTGTTGTGCCCATCCTTACTCCTTTGAGGCCTGTTAGGAACACTGAGCACACCCTGTCCTGAACATTTCCTTCACCCACACCTCACACCAAATCACATATTTGAGACAGGTTTCCAACCTACAATATGTCAAGAAGTCTTTATGGCAGTCTCAAGGCCACATATCCAGTCTGAAACAAGTCCTAGCAGATTCTGGAAATCACCAGTCCTTCTTCACTGCACATAGAACTGTAACAATTGCCAGGAAAGGTTTCCAGCAGTTCTAGGGGCCTCTGGAATATCTATGAAATTATTTCATGCTCTTCTCCCAGTTCTCAGTCAGCAAAGGGAGCTTCTGGGCACAGCCAGTTTTTTTTTTTTTTTGTTTTGTTTTGTTTTTTTAATTTTTTGGGTTTTTTTTAACAGATCTTAAGAGCTGAACAAATAAAAAATTATGTCAAAACTGAAACAGAAGTTACAGCATCATCATCATCATTCATATATGGGAAGTGTTCTTTTATATTGATTGATTAATTCAAGTATGAAACCAAATGAATGTGCTTCCCTTAGGCTAGTCGTAGGGACTGAGGAAGCAACTTCCATGGTTCACATAAGTGAACGTCCACAGCTCACTTACTCTCCCAGAACTTGCCTTGAGGAGACACCATTTTCCTCTGCTGTTTCTCCACAAGACTGACACTTTCTTTGATAGAAAAGAGGCAAATTATACACATTCCATCACTTTACAAGCATGTGGTGATTTATGTGCCATTTCAGGTGCATGCTGGCTCTGACAACACATTTTGGAGGCATCTACAGATGCCTGAACAGGGCTTTTTAGGTTCAAGTTGTTTTGATGACATGGAGCATGGACATTTAACTTCAGGTGCCCAAAAGCTAGGAACCTAATCCAAGATAATCACCTAGATTCCTGTTGTAGGCTCTGGAGACAGAGAAGAACAAGCAGAAGGTAATTTATCCTGTTTGACAGGACACACGTCTGAGACCTCCCAAAGCCTTCAAATGTCCCCATTGCCCAAGCTTAGACTGCATGCCCATGTCCTCAACAATAAAGAAGAGGTGAGGTGAGTCTTCCCTAGAGGACATGGTGGCTTCCTGAGGAATAGCTGCAAGCCAACAGAACCCTTAAGGTCCTGAGTGCACAAGCACTGCCGGCTGCCAGATCATGTTGCAAATGTGACTGGAAGTTGTAATGAGTGCTGCTGCGAACAGAAAAGCCTCACAGCTCCTTTGTATGTATAACACAAAAGAGGGGAGCAGACCCAGGCAGGCAGGGCTCCTGAGTGAAGCAGAAACCCACCTCTGTCCGTGTTGTGCCATTTCAATAGCTCTGCGAGCAGGAACCGGGGATCCACCGTCTGTCACACTGAGAACCTCCATGGACTTCCTCTCCGGCCGCCGCTTCCCATGCCTGTTCAGCATTGGGGAGTCCACACGCTTCCTGGGGGGATCTGCACGGAAAGAAAACACTGTCAGCTGAATTTAGTTGTGACTTACCTCATGCAGGTTGGTTAAATCTTCTCTCAACAATTTCACTCTCACACCTCCCTACAAAGACAGATCTCTTCATGATGGAGGCGAACATTTGAAGTTTCTCCCTTCTTCCAAATTTGCAAGCGTCAAGACATGCAATCCACCTGCAGAGAGAAGGAGCCCTGCCACTGCCCTAAAGGTATTATGAGCACTGTAAAATAGAGGCACAACTATACCGCAGCTTGTAGAAATTAGCTTACAAAGCTGATAACAGTAATAACAGGATGATACACGGTGACAGCATGGACTATAGCACAAGCTGTTAGGCAGAGCATGAGCCATCTAGGGATCCTGTGTATGTACTCAGGTTGCTAGAGCTTGCCTTCCACATCCCTGCCAGCCAGATTAAATGTGACACAGGGACATGAGTACACTCTAAATTCAGAATTGCGTTCTGCTCTGAAAACATACCCTTTTTTGCATCTTTAAGATTCGATTTCAGGTTTTTCCCGCTGATTTATATTTTTCGTCCTTCAGAAACATTACAAATGTGCTTGTCTACCTGAGACAAATGTTCAGTGAGAGCCACACCATGCAGCTTTTACTACTATAGTAAATGGAATGCTTTACACTTTTTATTGGGTAACAATTCTGTGAGGTATCAAAGAGCAACTTTAGCTTTGCAGACTGAAAACTGAGGCACAAGAGTGAGATATTTAAAGGCAATTCATTCCTAAAGATGTTGACAAACATTTACTGAGGTTCTGAGGAGCACTTAAATTGTTCTGAAAAGAATCTTTGGATACCAAAAGGCATTGCAGAAGGTGACTTGCCAAATCATTCACACCTTCATGGTGAAACAGGGAAGCAAATACAGACCTGCTGAGATGTTTTACTGCTACCCCCTCTCATAGCATCAAAACAATATAAAGAAGAAAGGCAGAAAAAAATACAGAAGGATTTTCTTTCCTTAGGTTGGGCTATTTCAATTCCCTACCTCTATTTATAGACACATTTTTAATTTTAGTGTAGAGTGACCACTTGTAAAAGAAGGCATCCTTCACCCTTCTGTTAGAAAGAAGCTCACAGTGCCCAGTCCTTAAGGCTTCTTTTTCTGCCAGGATTTCTGTGCAAAACCAGAAATACCACACTTGACAATTCTACCTCTACTGCCCGTTCTTTATTATCCTGCCCTCCTCACACCCACCATGTACTCATTTCTTCTCCCTCTAACATCATGTTTTTTAGAACAAGATCTCTTTGAGGCAGAGCTTATCCTTGAAACAATGAGCATAAGCTAAGATGGTTCAATGCAAATGGATTAGTGATAACAACTGACCCCATTACTGTATAACTCAAGTACTCTTTGTGTTAGCAGTAATAATGTTCCTCTTAAAAATTAATTAGGAAAAAAGTGCAGTTGTATGTCACTCCATTTCAAACTCTCCCCAATAATAAAAAGATAGTAGAAAATGGTAGAGGCAATGACCTCTAGATAGGAAAAAAAAAGAGTGCATAAAGCTGACAGAAAAACAAAGGGAGATAAACCAAATAAAGCATTCATACTGTGTGACTTCAGCTGCATACGTGCAAGTGGTCAAAAGTAAGCTGGGACAAGGTTTATACATTTCAAACTATTTGAACTTGCTTCTTCAAGCAAGTTCAAAATATGAGAAAGAATTCATGCAACAAAACAACTGGTGGTTCATAAGTGTATCTACAGCACAGTAACACATGTAACAATGATGTTCTGAGTGTATATATAACACAAAATGGATACAAGTTTTGTAGCAGGATATCAGACATAAAAAGGTAAAATAGTGCAGTTTAAAAGAAAGGAAGAAGGAAGATGAGGAAAGCATTAAATGTCAAAAGAATGGTGATGAATAAGCCCAAATAATAGCAGCTAAACAAGAAATATATTTCTTGTTTATCTGAAAAAGACAAGAAAAATATTTTATGAACAGATATTTTAAAAGTCAATTTGATCCATGCATGTTCAAAACAGAAATGGAAATTCAGCTGAGTGACATTTACAAAAATGACAGGCCACTTTTTAAAAGTCTGGACTTTAAAAGACATCAGAGAAGAAATTTGAAGAGGAATTAGCTAAAAACTCAAATGACAGTCTTCTGTACAGCCATCAGAAAGAGAAAACCTGAGAGAAGGACATTAGCCAGAGGGGCCATGAGGGAATCAACTGAACAATTGAGGAGGAGAAGGATATTGCTAACAAGCAAAATGATTCTTTTATATCATTCCTTGCTGCTTAAGATGCTGGAAGATATCGATTTCTAATCTATAGTTTAAGCTATCAAAGACAGAGAATAAGCAAAAAGAGCAGGTGGTGAAACACACCTATAAATTCAGGAACAGCAATTCACAAAAGTTGGATGGAAAATACATCCAAAGCTTGCATTAATGTGGTTGAGCTTCTAATAAAGGTATTTGATGCGCATTTAAAATTGGCTACAATTCTACACTGCACAGGACTGAGAGTAGCAAGTATTGTACTTACTTTTTAGAAGGATATGATTAAGAAATGACAGGGCACCATCACTGTCAAGACTAAAGATACTAAAAAATTAGTTAAATACAGACCCATCCTGTCATAATGACTGAAGTGGTGTCATACAAAAGCTGTAGAAGATTTTGCAGAAGCCTAGGAATTAAAAATAAGAAAATCTCCAGTATTTGCCCTTCTCTTCTTTGACTCTCTGAACATGGTGTAAAAAAATCAAACTGTAGTCCAGTGACAGTGACAGTACTAAGGATGCATTTTTCTTTTATTTCACATCAGAAAAGCAAAGCCATTCCTAAGGATTTTTAAATAAGAAGGCAGAATCATAGGTAATGATCCAATTCTAAATCCGCCTGGTCAGAGGTGGGAAATAAAGGTTCACCTTCTGAGTTTGGATGAGGCATCTCTATCCTCTATATCTGTTCTGGCCCAACCTTTTGTTCTCTAGTTTATTACGAAACTTCAGCCCACAAAATCATTTTTCTCAAGCAGACATTAGTTGACATTCATTCCTTTTACTGAGAAGTTTCTCATTCCCATGTTTTCAAGTAAAGAAAATGGAGGTGCACAAGGAAAATGTTGGAAATGGCCCTTCCTTGGCCCTTGGAAGAAACTTCATACAGCTTAAACAGACAAAGGGACACCAGAAGAAAGAGCAAGCTGTAGCTGGCCATATTTTTACCTGCATCCATCCTTTCTGAGACTTAATATGCCAACAAAGATGAAAAAGCAAAATACTCTCAGATGCTTATTTTTTTTTTTTGGCAAGGGCTCAGACAATGCACAACTCTCATGAACATGGTTTCTTCAAGCTGCTATTATTAAGCTGTTACTTTTTCTCTGCTTTTCTTTCTTTATGCAAGGCCATTGCTAATGGCTAATGATGAGATATTCATCAGACACATGACTGCTTCTAATTAAACCTTGCCCCATGTTCTCAGAGATACCGCTGGGAACAGAGGACATGGAAACCCCCTGTGGAAGAGAAAAATACAACATACAAGCACTCAAGGAATAATGCTCAAATGTGAGGGTGAGGCACATAGATACAGTCAGCATTTCTCTGTTAGAAACATTTTCACTCCTTGCACAAAAAATACAAGAGTGGACCATAATATTTCCGTTCAAAACATGAAAATACTTTGGCATGTGGAAGAGATATACAATGCATTTAAGGCATAGCTAAATATTCACTTACATGCTGGGTTTGAAGGTTCTAGAGTCACCTTGTCTCTTTTCTTATGACAAAAGCATTTCTAAAACAAGATGATCCTGTCCTTACATGGCAGGATAATCTGTTTGAGTCAAAAGCTGATTAGCAGAGTGCTAGGTGACAAACTGCACTGAGCAAGGGGCTTTTGACCACAGGACCTGCAGCTGGCACACCTACCCATCTTCATCAGGATCCCTGCTAACATGCTTTCTGTAGCCCTGTCCAGGTAGGAGTTTAAAAACTGCTGTCTTAACAAAGAATTTTCAACTCTCCTTCTGCAGAAGAAATTTCCCCGCAAAATTTTAGGGCCTGGAACATGGATAGGTTAACAATTCAATGAAGCATTAACAAATGCAGTGCAATATAGCACTGCCCTGAAAGCTTGTGAGATTCCAGGCTTTCCAGTAAAAATAAAGGGCACTTTGCTTCTAGTCTTCAAAGTGCTGAAGTACAATACCTGAAAATCTCCACACTTCTATGTAAAATTCTGTTTCAGATCATTGCTAGAAGTGACTAATCCTTTATTAAACTTGTCTGCACGTCAAGAGTCACTTATATAGTTAGCTCCTTGGGGAGCAGTTTTCCTGTTGTCTGGATTAGTGGTGATCAGCAGCACCCTAAAAAAAGCAATGAATAAATGGGAATACAGTGGTATCACAAGAGCTTTATAAGATATGTAATCTTATTGTGCATTAAGCTTTTAAAATCTTTCTAAGTCTAAAAACATGGGAGTTTGATTTATGTACTATAGAACAGCTAAGTTATATGACTCATACTTTCAGCAGTGCATGTATTCACTTACAGAGACGAGAATGTGCACATATATAACTGCAGAGGGATGCAGCTACACAGCTTCTTACTAACTGAATGCTCCATGAGCATCCTGTCTGCAACACTGCAAGGAGACTTGTAACTAGAAAACTCTGCCACTAGATTATACTGCTACTAAACCTCATCTGCCTGCATAGAGCCAGCCTGTGGGTTCACAGCAGATTTTTTAAGATCCTATTCCAGACCTACTTGGATGTTTCTGCACTGTGAGACAGACATGCCCTGAAAGATGAAGACTTCTAGTTTAACCATGGAACAGACCTGCCTGTCCCAGGCTGAGGATTCTCACCAGTGCTGTGTACACCATTTCATAGGGAAGGTAGCAATGATGATAGGGTTTGGGTTTAAATTAAAATAAAATTAGAAATAATAATAATAAAAAAAAAAGGTGAAGAGAAACTAGTTCAGATGGATTCATGGTGACTGAGGTCATATCTGCAGTACCTATTTCATTTCTAGGGGGAAGATCCTCATCTTCATGACTAGGATACCTCTCCTTCCGGTCAAGCAGAAGAAAATAAATCATTTTTTCTTGGTTTTCTCTGGAAAAAAAATAAAAAAAAAATCTTTACATTTGGAAAGAAAAAAAGGTCAACATGTACATAAACCTTTCTCATCAAATAAACAATCACAGTTATTCCAAATGAGCTGGAAATGGTCATGTACATGACATCTAGATACACAACCCACAAAGCTTTTGGGACCCTTGCTGTCTCCAACAAGCAGTGAATGAAGAAAGGAAATAAGATTCCCATGCTACAGACACAGAGCAGAGGCACAGGACAGTCAAGGTTATGTGTCCCCAGGAAGTCCAAACCAAGAGTGGCAGCCAGACAGGTCTGCTGAGCCTCTAAGTGCTCTTTCTACTACTAAGTCTCCCTCTTACACCTCAGGAGATACACCAGCTCTTAGGCATGTGTTTGAAACAAATAAAAATTTGGCAACAAAGGCATATCCAACACAAATACCAGCAATTTTACCTCCCCATGTGGACTGTGCAGCCCATGTTTTAGTGAAGTGACCTGGCCTGGCAGCTAGGGAAGAAATAGCACAGTGCCTCCACTGCTGGTCAGGCTGTGAGCTTCTGACCCATGGAGCAAGAAAGGCTTGCTCCCAACACCTGACTAGCAAATGAGCAGCCAGAGGGTGAGAAGTTCTTACCAGTCACTCAGAGAGAGAGAGACATTAGTTAAAGTGCTCTCTGCCTGTCCCCAGGTTCATAAGCATCCCAGCCCCTGGACACCCAACTGGTATGAAGACTGAGCAAGTGCTTACTCTTCCGACAACAAGTCCTGTAAGAGTTTATTTCGGTCACGGAAGCAGCCTAACGAGTGCATGCTATCTAACACGTCTGGATCAATATCCTCCAAGGAAGGGAGAGAACGAATCTGCACCTTTCGAGGGATTGGTTGCTCTGGTTCTGGCTCATTCTTACCCCCTCTGCAGAGGAAAGAAGATGAGGGAGAGAAAGGGGGAGGGAAAGGAGAGAAAAGAAACATGAGTCACAAATGAACCCATACTCTGAAACACAGCCTGCAGCAACAGATGGAAATAGCTTGCTAAATTCCCACTGAGAGACCAGAGCGTCCAACCAGACAGATATTATTCTCATAAGAAACTGTCAGGAAGGCTAAGACTGACCAGCAGGTTGTGGATTTGGGCCTTTAATGAGAAATGTCTGTGTTCAGTCAGCAAGGTAATAGGAACTTCACTTACCAGTGCCCTTGTAACAGAAGCAGCTGTTCAGCATCCTAATGCCAAACATTTATAAAACACTACATGTTTTTAGAGATGTTGTCTCATCAGCTGGCCAGACCTCAGACTATGAGGCTGAAAAGTGCAAGCTGAATGATTCCCTTTTGAAGGAGCTCTGAACAAACCATCACTATTTTTCACCATTTCTGATTACAACTGGCACTGCAGCAGTTTCTTTCATTAAGGTTTCCAATGTGATTAAGAGACCTCAGTGCTCAGGCTCCTACTTGACACACTTTAAAGGGTTTTGGGGGGAAACCATGCTGCTTAACTGCATGCCCAAACACGACAATCTCTGCTTCTCTTAAGACATGCAAATTTGAAAATTTTGGCTCAAGTGTGATGCCTGAGGTCAGTGGCAGACCTCAGAACACACCATTAGCAGTAGAACATATTACTCTTTCAAATGTAGTTAACACAGGCTTTCTGCACAATTATCTCATCCCATTCACTAGGCTCAGGAAATATTGATTATTCATTGCAATTAAAGGCCCTGACTGTAAGAAACAGGTCAAGGTGTCAGGGTATTTCTAACTGACTAATGATATATATTGCAGACATCCGGAATATCCTTTGATTTTATTTCAGTAGGCAGTGAGAGGTGGGTTTGGTGGTGGTGTTGGTCAATTGTTGAAAAACACCAATTGTAGGTATTTTGGCCAGAGAAACTGTTTACTCATAATGTCTGCTATTTCTCAGTGGCTGCTTTGTGCAGTGTTGAAGTTTCCCTGCTCCATGAGTGGGGTTCTCTCTTTCCTTTATGTGGTGCAAATGTGTGACTGCAATACCACCATGAATCTAAGGGCTACACTCAAAAATCCTTGTTCAACTACAGAAACATCTTATTCTTTCTAAGAGGTCACTACTGCCACCTCTTAGGATCAAGATCTAGCTCTCAGAAGGTAATAAGCAATGATTAGTTCATAACCTTGCAGTATTAAATCCAGTGATGACCTTGTCATTAAGATAAATTCTTGCAGGATAGACCTTTGAACAGCAGCTGAGTGTTTTTGCTTTTTAATGATCTACAGTTCACTTCTGAAAAGTACTGAATTAATTAATCATTCTTATTACAAGCAGATGTCCTTAAGGTAATTTAAAGAGATTAAAAAGAATTATTGTCTTTGAAAATTTCCAGGAAGCCTGGGTTTCCCACTAGTTGCCCTAGTCTGAATAGAATCTACAAGTTTCTTTTGTATCAATCAGCACAGGAGCCATTTCTAGAAAGCACAGCTTGCCATCCTCCGTGCACTCCAGAGTGGCACTTCCTTATGCCCTGCACCTGGTCAGCCTCAGACACAGTCAGGAATTTTCACACCTCCTCATCAGGTACAAGTAAAATCTGCAAAGAGGCGTCTTGTCGTTTGGCAGTGCAATTCAGAGCTCCAGGAAACGAAAATCACCGGGTCTGGGCTGTGATTGGCATGACTGCAATGCCTGTTCCATTCTCAGTCTAGCAGAGTGACAAATTTGTTGCATTGCAGCCCACACAGACATCAAACAATGTCACACAGTGACTACTGCAAATCACATATATTTTTTTAAAGGCCCACATGAATGTAATTGCTGCTTTGAAACCCACCCTCTTTTGTGAGGATTGGTGGATACAATGGCTGTGATTCCTGATCAGGGTGGATTTTCTCTCCATGAAATTTGCTCATGAATCTCACTGAGATGCCCATTTGCATCAGTGCAAAGCAAAGCAGAAGCAGTACACTTACTCTTTTTCTTGTTTTAGTAAGTGTGGTACCTTCGCAATTAAGGCAGTAATTCAGTGTTACAGGAGTGCATATTTACCATAATAAGTAATTTTATTTTATCTTTTACTTTACTAAAAAATGGGAAAATAACTGCTGTTTATTTTCTGGTTTATGAAAACCTGCATTTCAGGTAAAAATAAATTATTTCAATTAAAAAAGGCTTGAGAAACCTCACTGAATTAATTTGGGTGGGAGAGCAAGAACTGGAGGTGCTGATGAAAGATTTCACTTAGGTTTCTTTTTTCCTTTTTTAGGCTTGTGAATCATGATTTCAACTTTCAAGACCTCTTTCTCTGCCTGCCTAAATCTGCAATTAAATATTTTTTTCAGTTTTACAGTAGTCTCAATATTTATTTGAAGAACTAAGTGAAACTGCTTCAATGTTGTGAGTACCACTTTCAGGTCAGTAACCTATATATGACAAAGGATGAAGATTTTACATAGAATAGTAGATAAAATTAAGAAAAAGATTTAAGAGGTGAGCAAAAGAGCCATAGGATAAAACACTACAACCCCTTCTCTGTCAGCATAAGTATTTCCAGGCAAAATGAATGCAAGGAGGTTGTGAAACATTACCAGATGAAAGCAGTTGAGTTTCAGAGGTGGCAAGGTCATTCACTGACTAAAATTAGCCACAGGACGTTAACCTCCTGAGGTCACTCCATGGCCAGTACAGAGAAAATGAGAAAGAGACTCATTAAAAAAGCTATTTTGAGCAGAAACGTCTTTTTAGGCAATCTAAAGAGACATTTGGAAGAGCCCTTCTGCACTCACTACCCTGAGAGTCTAGAGATTTGCTTTTGCAAAACTCAGTTTCTACTTCTGAAAACAGCCTCAGATGCAGTTTACTGTGGCAATCATCAGAGAGTCTGACCTTCATTAAGAAATACATGAAAATGTTCAAATGTTTATGTCTCCAAAGGAAAAAATCTTCAAATTCTAAATATAGACTAAAGTCATGAAATGGCACCTGCACAATTGCGTATGTGAGCCTAGGACAACAGTCCTTCAACAAATGAAAAGTTCCAGGCAAAAATCTTGAGGACGGTAAAAATAACAATATAAATGATCAATGACTTTTCATTTTATTTCCTATTCCAGTTCTGATAAAAGCACAAAGGGTGTCAGCCGATTTCACTCCACGAAAAAAACAGAGGGGAATTATCTGTCCAATCTGATGTAAAAAGTATTTACTTCTGCAATTGCTAGCAAGATCTTACAGTAGGGATTTCAGAGATTACAATTAGAGGTTTTCCCACTCCATTTGTTCTACATTTACCCAGGAGAGTTAAAAAAAAAAAAAAGTATATGCAGGAAACCTCCAATACTCCAGTACTTCTTTGCTTTAAAAAGGTGCCATGTCTGGTAACTGAAGAGAGTATGGAAAAGCCATGGGAAGAGTGCTGCCACTATTTCAGGTGAACTAAGTTTTTTCTTAGTTCCAATTTTTTTTCTTAGCTATTCAACAATCTGTTGAACCCCCTCAGGTCCTACTGAAGTCATATAAATCCAGAGGTGAACATGGCCCATAAAATAGAATTAGAGAAAATTAAACAAATAAAGAAAAAGTGATTCCTTTCATGGTGACAGACTTATATATCAGTTCATATCATCCTTGAGTACTTCTCAAGAATAATGATGGGATTATGAAGGTAGGACTTTCTTTACCACCCACCTGGGAAATACTGACCCTGAGAAATGCATCCAAGCATAATTTCATTGTTTATTATGTGAAGTATTCTCTTCAGTTTGATTAGGATATCATAGTATAAAAAGTTTATTTACTTAGGCTTCTTGAAATACTACTAAGGCTACACAAAGAGCAAGGTCACTTTTAAAAGCCATCAATCTTCCTTATACCCAAACCACCAGACAGGCGTGTACTTTTCTCACAGACCTCCGGTTTCACTGTCAGGACTGCTGTTTTTAATCAAGTCACAGAAGTACTCTCACATCAACAGGTTACAAGGTCAGAAGCAGCCTCTTAGCTTGCTATGAAGAAGGAGTGGGGATTATGAGACAGAGAAGCTCTTGCTCACAGGTGCTTACTCATCAATATCATCACTTTTGTTTCTACTTCAAAGAAAAGCCAAGACACCAAGAAGGAACAAATGAAAGCTTTCTTGTCAAGAAGGTATTACAAGGGACTGTCTGTAGCACATGGATGGCAAGCTAAATATGGTTGCTAGCTGGGTATTTTTTTGCTGATCACCTGTAGGTATCTCTTTAACACAGCAAGTTGTTGGACTGAATGTATTATTTCAAGCAGTTGTTAGCCATTGTACAAAAATGTTCCTGGGCTGGTACATATAAATGCAATTATAAGAGTAGCAAAGGGTAAAAAAATGAAAAAAATTAGATGTCTTTCTGCTCTCTGTCCCTTTTTCTCATGTGTGTGCAACCTGCTTTCAGACTCCAGCCTCATTCTTCCAGTGGTCTCTTCACAGATCACTAGAATACCAGAATCAACAATGAATGTATGCAAAATTTAAAAAAAAAAAATTACTTACATATACCATATGTGTTTCTGAATATGTTCTAGCTGTAAAGGAAAAGAAAACAAGGAATTAGTGTCGTAAACTAGAAAAGGTAACTCCACAAGTCATCCTTATTCAAGGCTTATTCAAGTAAATCCAAAATTTCAGAGATGGACCTATGCATACAACAGGAACTTTATGCTGCATAAAGAGCTGCTCATCCTAACCCATCCCACTGGAAATGACACTTTAATTACAGACAATGCATCAGTAAGAAGCAAATCCCAGGCAAATGCTAAGCGCAAGGCTTCACAGGTAACTGTTCTGGAAATTCAAGCTTTTCCCTTCCCAAGTCCTTCCCTATGCAATCTAACTGCTCATTTCTGTATATACATAGTAGCTGATCCTTTGTACTTAAATTGCATTTCTAGTTTTGTTTTGGAGAAAAAGAGAGAGGAAGAAAGAAGAAAATAGTTTCAAACAGGTAATAAACAAAATAATTTGTGCATATGCAGTGTGACCTTCCTGGATACAGCCAATCATTCTAGATTGGCTTCACATTTATCATCAAAATCTAAGGACCATGCAGAATAAAGTTCTATGTAATTTACTAATTCTGCACTTGGAACACCAGACCACTTATTTATTTTACTTCCCTTCTTCCCGTTCCAAACATGAAAATGTCATTATGCAGTGAAGGACTGATTAAAGCTGAAAGCAGCCATGTCCAGCTATGGAAGGCAGATTCCACAAACATTACAATGATGTATTTTCCCACAAGCACAAGAAAAGAAGGCAACATGATTTTTCCAAGAGAAACCCTTAATAGCAGAGAGAACAAAAGTTCATATAATGTACTTACAGCAGAACCTTCCAAATATGTTTTGTTTTAATCATCAAAGCAGAAAAGAACTTTTCTTGGATGTCCAGGGATTATTTTATATGTAGGCAGTGTTTTTTATATTCATCACTATGCAGCACCTTTGTAGGTGCAGAACAAAATGCATACTTGTGCAACATTCAGGGGAATGTTACATTCCACTTCCACAATAATTAGAATCAGAGAGAAAAAGAAACAAAAAGAAAAGAAAAAATAAGGAACAAGCAAACAACAAAATCTCAGAGATACAAAGTGTTTGCCACAGAGAGCAAGGAATCAGAGACCTTTGTGCTATGGAGCAACAGCTCCCTGTCTGGGAAACCAGTAAGACGTGAGTTTGGCCCTGTATGAGATCATTTTTTTAAGTGAGTCAGGGCTTTTCCTTAAAACAAAGAAACAACAGACTGCAGCTTAGGAAAGCATGACAGGAAGCTGAAGGGAATAGTGTGGGAAACAAACAACCTCCTTTAAACCCCAGACTGTATCCACACTGCAGAGGTGCAGTTGGCACTCATCTGTCTTCTAACCAGCACCAGTGCCCCAAGCACACACATCCACCAGCCCAAGCAGACTTGCACAGTTTCCAGCTGTGGCCCCAGTCCTCCACAGTAATTCCCCTTCATCACAGTTCTCCTACACTATAAGGTAGTCCTCTAACCCCTGCACTATTAAGAGCAAGGTGGAGTATTCCTGACACACGGCCATCTCCCATCGAGATAAAGTTCTGATTTGGGAGTTCCCCCAACAGCCTGGAGACACAGCCCTCTTTCTTCTGTCTCTGTGCAAGCTGAGGTATAATCACAAAACACAAGGAGAGACAATTTTGTACAGCTTCCATGGGGCAAGATCTTAGAACTGTTCCTTATCAGATGTGTAATTCTGTGAAGACCTGCTAGGGGGTGGACTGTGTCTCCTGTGCTGGTAAAACCACATCTACTCATTATTTCCCAACACCAAAAGGAGGGTTAGAGAGATTAATGATTTCAGACAAGATGCAGATGATACAGTTTTGCATTGTCCAAGCCTCTTTCATGCCTGCTTCTCCTGCTGCATTTTCTGTCTCCATGGGACTCTGTGCTCTTGTGTGTCTGTGATACGCAGAAATGCCATGGCAAAGCAGACAACAGCACTCCACTTTGAGTTAGAGAGGGTAAAGAAGAGAGGGCCACCCGTTCATGTCTTAGTCACAGAACCTCTGGGCTCCTTCAGAGATTATGTCAAATGCCTTCTGCCCATCCCTGCTGATCACTCTCCTTCAAACTAATGAACACACAGCATTTTTCTGAAAGAGAAGCCCCGTTGCACCTTGACAGACATTTGAAGGTGTATGACAGCTCTCATGGCTGCTGTTTATCTACACATCTACCATTCAGTCCACATCAAAACCGTTCCTGTGAAGTATGCAGGAATATCACAGATATGAAAAGTATTCTACAAACCCATTTCCTATCCTGATTCAAACGTAATTGCATTGAAATATTATTAGAATTGTGCTTGCTGCTGCCAACATCTTCACTGCTGTTTTAAAGGTAATTAATTAATGCTTTGTTGCTTTTTGTCTGCATTAAAGTGACAGTAGGGTTATGGGAGGGCGATTGGTTTTGACAAGGAGAAGTCTATGCTTTCTACTGTGCAGTGCAGGGGAGGGAGATACACAGTGGGAGCTAATCTCACTCCTGCCTTCATTTAAACACAATGTTTAAATGCATTTAAGTGACGAAGGCATTTAACAACCCTTCCCAGAGGGTTTTTCTTGCTGTTTGCACATGAGTTTGCCAAGTTTAATACCATTTTATGGAAGTTGTAAAAATGCTGCTTCCTAACGTCTCCTAGTCACTGCAGGCAACTGTCTCATGACATCATCTCTGAAACAACAAAACATGCTCAGATCCACTGCACATGCACAGTCAGAGAGATTTCTGCAGGCTAAGATGCTGTAATGGAAGGAGAGGGAGAATTCCTTCATCACGATTTTACGTAAAATACTTCCAAATATTAAACTTGTACACTGAAGAAGCATCATGGAGCCTCTCACAGATGAGAGATCCACTGTGATACAGAGCTGCACAAGAAAAAGAGGTTTTTCCACAGAAAAAGAGGTCTCCTCCCACAAAAAGCTTATGTCTGAATTCTAAGGCAGGGAACAACAGATGGAGACAGACAGGCAGATGGAAAATAAGACAGCGCTGTCTACATCCTCAGCACTGATCTCAGCAGAGCGGCTGCCAAGCTGAAAAGTTCTGACCTGAAGAAAAACTTTCTCAAAGTCTGTGGATATAGATGAGGGCTTCTGGGCTTGAACTTATGTCAAATTTCAAACTTCTCTGTCCGGAAAGGGAACAGCCTCAAACCCATCTGTGCACTCACACCTCAAATGAATCTTCTTCATCCAGAAGATCTCCTAATTGAGCTTTAAACCTACTGTGTAATGTCAAGACACAGGCTTTTTCTGGCCACAGGGTTCAGGCTGGCAGTGCAAACAGCACTGGTAAAACCATTACCTGTTTCAGCAGTAGCAGCTGCACTAAAGCAGCCTCCAGGAACCTTGAAAAGATCAAGTATCATTGTCCTACGTACACTGGGCATGAACAAGCCCTTGACAGCCTAAATACATCAATTGGACAATTACCTCCATTCTATAGGTTGTAAAGTGAGAAAATTTAAATGATGGAATAGGCATATTCCATATTCCATATTCTTACCATAAGACATCTACAGAAATTAATCAGGTGGGTTTTCCCTTCTTCATTTTTGTAACATTCTTTAGATTCTGCAGGTCATCATTAGCATATATCAGATCCAAGAAAAAACAAAATCAGAAAGCAGAGAGGAGATTCTGAAAAAATGTGTAATTCAAGGAATTTTTAGGTAATATTAAGGGATAGGTATTTCCACCTATATGGACACCTAACATGGAAGACAAGTCATTCTACCATAGTATAAGATGTCAATACTAGAACAGTAACACCTTTAGAAATAGCTTATTCTGCAACATCTGCTTTGATCCACCTTGCTCTAGAAACAAAATTTCAACAGTGCTCACCTATGGATGCTAAATCTGAACCAGAGTGCCTGTGGTTATTGCAGGCCACATGGCTCGGTCCTGCCTGAGAGCTAGCCTGGGAAATTCATGGGAGGATTTGAAAACAATCCTCAGAGACAGAAAACAGCCGTGCCAGGTGCTGTTTGTCTGTCCCTTGTTTTCTTTGCAGGAGAAGGTCAGGAGGTGGTGAGCACCACTGACCAATGATGGCGATGTAGCAGTTTACTAACCAATAAGTTTCCTTTCTGTACTTACCATGAATCAGTCTATAAAACAAGCCTGAAGTAATAAACTAGAGATATTCTCCTGTTCTGACTCCATGAGAGTCTGTGTCGTCTCTACCCAGCCGGTCCTAATAGAGCGACACTCACCCATCTTTAAAAGGAAAGCGCCTCTGCCCTTTGCCTTTGTCTTTCTGGAGAAGAAAATATTGGCTGAGAATGCAACTGGTTTCTACTACAGGAGCTATAATCTTCTGCTGTAGCAATGCTGAATCATTTGAAGAGCACATAACTAAAATAAATCTCATCCTGAAGTACTTTAGTACCCAGAGCACACCTCCCATAAGCCTTCTCAAACTCTGTTACTACTTCACTTTTCCCTCCTGACACTATTCCTATTAAAAGGCTGTCCCAGTACCCCACTGATATGTCTAAAATTCTTCTAGTTTCTAGCCTGCTTTCCTGTAAGGCCATTTGACATACATTTGTTTTTGTGCCAGTATCTTCCTTTAGCTTAAATAATCCTTCTCTCCCTAGTAATTACCTCTAATGAATATGCAGATGACCAGTACAACCTTCCTTAGACATCATCTGTGTACATTAACTGAAGTTCTTTTAGGCCATACTACTCAGACAGACTCTTTCAAATGCTCATCATCTTGGTACTCATTCTTTGCTTGATTTCACCTTTCATAAATACGAGTGGTCAGAAATACCATCACCAGGAGCAAGGATCAACTTTCAATGAAAAGTTTATCCTTAATGAAAGAAAAACACAAATTCTTTTATTTCACAGCATGTTTAGTCAAACAGGCTCAGTAAATCAGAGTGGTCAAGGATGTCCCACTAAACCATATTTGAGGCTATGTAACACATGGTGAGTGTGAACAATATTCCACTAAGACATAATAAAGCCTTGTTCCCACAAATGAATCATATACAAAGAAAGGTAATGCCTGTTTCTTAAGGCTGGAAAGGGCCAGCAACAATAATTCTGAGTACCCTCCCTTCCATTAATCTTCTCAAGATCCAACACTGAAGCAAATGATGACAGTTAAACGTGAATGCTGGTTCTGTTTTTGTTGATCATTTTAACAGATGGACTGGAGAAGGTGTGGGTGTACTGTGAAATGGCAATTACTTCAGGGAGGGAAATGCAGTTGGATAAAAAGGAAAGGAGATACAAATCAAAAAAAGAGGAACAAAGCAGAGAAGGGAAGTGAAAAATGAAAGAAAAAAAAAAATCTAGTGACCTTACATTTCACTATATTTTTCTGCTGAATTCACTAGTGAGGTATTCAGCAAATGATCAGTAATGCTAACAGCTACATCTGTACTTATTATACCCAAGCTGCAAATTTGTTCACATCTTTGTATAAATATCAAATTGATTCAAGTGAGATATTTTCTAGGAATAGAGGCTTCCAAATAAACCCATATGTATACCCCTTTTCACAGGACACAGCTAAAATAGAATTCAGCTCTCTCCTCAGAATGAACTCTATATTCCCAGCTCTTGTGCAGTAAACAAAGAGCTCCCTTCTGCCTGGCAATCAAAGCAAGCAGCTCACTAACAGCACAGGAGTGTGACAGCAGCAGGGACAGCAGACCCAGAGACCCTCAAATAATGAAAATAAGACTGCAGCTAATAACAAAGAGTCATCCTTTTTTCCTCGCAGCTCTCTGCTCTTTAATATGTATTATTTCGAATTCTTATTCATAATTCAATGGTCTGTGCTTGCCAACAACCACCTGATCTGGGGTTTTCTCTTCTCCCTAAGGAAGTAAGAGGTTAATTTTGATCAAGAAAAGGAGGGGGATGGGTGTCACTCTGAGACCTTGAATTACCTCAACTGCTTTTCTTTCCTATGCACATACATTCTCAGATGTATTGCACAACTCAAAATATTTAGGGCCTGTCTCTGCCCTGTGGAAAAACTCAGAACAATCTGAAGCAGGATCTAACACTTGATCTTCTTCCTAACATACTTAGACCATCAGCACTAATATATTTGAGAAGCTGGTATGTTTACATCACAGAAAGGGAGCTAAGCTTGAGAGGGACTTGGTGACTTTTTTGGCCATGAAGAACAGCTGCCTCATGTCTCAGGATATTGCCCTAACCTCTGCAGTGTTATTTCTGTGAATATACTTGTGAAAATGTTATTTCTTTCTTTAAAATTCTGTTCTAAAAAGGTCTTTTAAAGTGCCTATTTTTATTTTTTTCCAATCGAAGCTATTTATGTACTGTAAAATGTGATGGTACTGGGTTTGCAAAAGTAGGGATACTAGAAATAACATGAAGAACTTTTCCCCTATGCCACCAAATAGAGCATGACCTGGATTGGTAATGAATGAAAGAAAAACCCAGTTGTCAGGTAATATTGTAAAGAGTTGTGAAGGGAATTTCAGTTAACTTCTTAGCAGAGAGGTGTCTGCATCCCAAAAGCTTTGTCACAGCTGGCACAGACTGATGCTGTTGTTACCAATCTCAGCAGAGAGGCCAAGCAGTGATCTGAGAGTTTATTTATAAATATTTTAGCAGACTGAAGAACCAGGAGGAGTGTTAAATTTACATTTCTCTATACATACTCCCACTCAGAATCTGTGAGCTTAGTAAATCTGTATAAAATCATCACCATGGCCTGACAATAGGATTTACAAGGGCAAAGTACCCATAAAGGCACACGCCTCCACTGACAAGCAGGCAATCTTACTTTCCAAAATTATTTTAATTGCTAATGTTTTTTAATTCCCTAAAACATGAACACAGTGTTAGTGAAGGATACAATCACTACACATTCCTCACCCTTGCAGGGTCTCTGTTGTAGTGAAGGGGTGTATCCTGGAGGCAGACTCAGTGCTGAATGCCAGGAGCTCAACACTGCGGGACTAAGAGTGCTCAAGACCACAGGGCAGAGGATGAAAGAGCAGACTGGCAGTCACTTGCTCTGAAGGCTGCTAGAGGATAATGCAGAGCAAATGCAGGATAGAATACAATGCAGCTTATGTAGTGTGAAGTGAGAAGCCAACACTTCTGTCAGAAATGTAAGAAAATCACACTGTTTAATGGCAAAGCTTCAAATACCAGTCCGAACACCTGTGACCTTCAAACACTTACATCACCCAGCAAACTGCTGTATCAGACAGAAGAATCAGACAACTCAGGTGCACTCCAAAACATGTGAATGGGCCAGCAGTTCTGCGATGAGCTACGAGGGATTTCTCTTAAATGCCCCGAGTTACATATGGAACAGAATAGTGAGGCTACAGAAAAGCCACAAAAGCAATCCGTTCTCATGACTCAAAAGAGATGGTAACTAACTTCTTCCCAAAGACTCCACCAACTCCACTCTTTCTTTGCTCAGGAGGAAACACATAGGAGTGACACTAAATCACCAAGTTACCTTAGCTGCTCATCCATTCCTGCAACAAGGCAAGAAATGAAGCCTTGCTCACGCTGCCTCCTTACCGTGAGACGTTTCGAGGCATCCACTTCAATCATCCCCCGCAAAAGGTTCTGACAGTCGGGGGGGATAAAATGGGGCATGTGGAACACTCCACGCTTCACCTTCTCCAGCAGCTGCCGCAAGTTGTCGTCATCGAAAGGCAGGGCGCCCTGCAGGGATGGGACAGAGCAGTCAATAGGAGAGAACTGGAGAGGACCAAAGGAGAAAAGCCAGGATAAACCTGGTGAGAGAATCGAAAAGAGAAAGACAGCTCATAATGAATTATTACAATGAGTCAAAAAGATTTTTTATCCATTGGAAAGAAATAATTTCTTAGTGCTGCTGTATTTCCTCTAATATAGGAAACAAAACTGAGGACATTGTTTAGTTTTTTTTATTAGACTTTTAATTAGAAAATTACTACCAGAACAAAGTAAAATACAAAATATGAAATTGCCTTTCCAGGCAAATTCACCAAAGATGCATGGATTGACTTAAATTCAGCTCAAAGCTTTTGATCTGCTGGTATTCCTCCTGGGCATACTTTCACAGCAGCAATGTTTATCGTCTCCTTATTTTTAATCTTCCTGAGACACATTTATTGCAGACATTGAAAAGGAGGTGAACAGCTTTTGAGAGACTTTCAGTAAAGAACATGCTCTTTCTGATCGAGCATTGAAACGACACAACTGAAAGAAACCCCAACCAACATTAGCCTTTGGAAGCAGCAGACATTCTACCTGTTTAATATACTCCATCCAGTTCCCATGCTGTGGTCAGGTCATCAGTTCCTATTGCTTCCCTACTGTAGCTCACTTACATGAATGGCTTGGAGTTTTTTTAGCTGAAACTACATTTTGAATAGATCATCAGCTTGCCACAAAAAGCAGTAAAAGACCTATCCTTGCTGCAAGGACAAAAAGGAAAAAGAGAAGGTTGAAATCTTTAGGGTAACTCTACTGACTGAAGCTGATACCCTTTTATAGCAAGTCTGCACCTTCCTAGATATTCTCACTTCCTTCTTTCACTGCCTAATTCTAGTAGGTGCTGAGCTTCCTTGATTTCCAGGATGACTTGTGGGAAGCTGCAAGCTGTCAGCTGCTGTGATAATGAAGCTTTAAGTTGTCAGCTCTGGCACTGCTCTTACTACAGTGAGTAGTGCATCTGTATAAGCAATCCTGGGTCTATGGTTTAGGGAGAACAACAGCTCCATTTTCAGCAGCCTCAGGAAGCCACCTGATGGCAGCCACGACTGGGCACTGCTTACTGGAGTTTGTTCATTCAAGTGGCCTTGAAGGCAGAGCCCCTCCCTGCCTTCTGTAATCAACCTCCTGAGTTACCTATGCATTCCAGACTTAAAGGAAAGTCAATTCTGATAGTTCAGTACTTTGGCTAACGCAATTTAAGTCCTGGTAAAATCAGAAAGGACGCTGTGTGGCATCTCCTGAAGGTAACATCTACATCTCTTTTATTACTACCATCTGCTATCATATCTTGATAGTTTTTGCAGGGTTCATCCTGACATAATTAACTGGCGAGCTCTGCACTCTCCATCAATAATAGACTTATTTCAATCATTTTTCAGGCACATGTGTGTATGTAGGAACAGATGAAGATGCAGCAACAGACACCAAAGCATGACAGAGAATCCCCCCGAAAATTAAAAGCCTGCTCCAACAAATCCTAACCACCTTGACACATTCTCTCTTCTGTTCTTACAAATTCAAGAAGTTATATTAAGAGCTCATTATACACTTCCATTTTATTAGCTATGGAAGTAACTGCTCAGTAAGAGATGACCAGGTGTTATCTAGTGTGATAGTTAAAATCCTTCCAGTGCAACATCAAGATAAAAAAAATTAAAACTTCAAAAATGTCAGTGAATTGTAATGACTAAAAAGAAAAAAGGAGTAAGATTAGTTAAGGGGAATTAAAACATCATACTGACATTACTTCAAGGTATTTTGATTTGAGCCATTAAAAAAGAATCAGCACATCTTTTGATACAAAAATTCTCTAAAATTTTGAAGTATTTTAAACAAAAACAGTATGCAGAATTTATCTCATTTTACACTGTACAAGTACTTTTTCAAAATAAAGCATTTAAGTGAAGCAATCAGGTTTACTGATACATATACAAGAATCTCAAAATTTTACTTCAGGCTTGTTACTTTTATAATTATAGATGATTAGCTGAACAATTACAGATATAAAATACTTAACATGCACATAAAACCTGTATTCATATAGAGTACTTTACCTGCATGTGATATATGATTGTATTAACATAAACTATATTTTCCTACATTATACTATGGAAATTGATAACAAATGCCAAGCCAATCTGCCTTCAGCTGGACACCCAATTGTTGGATGTTTAGGAGTTGATTTCAGAATAAATTCCACAGAGAATTGAAACTCTGATCAAAAGAAGGATAAGTTAGAAGACATTGTATTTTGAACACTTAAAGTATTACTGAGCCAGATGGAAACTAATTTAAACTTTGTACTACTGGCTCAGTTTTATATTCCCATGTGTACCAAATTAAAATGTAGCCTGCTGCTTGCATGAAACAAAGACGAGGTTCTCAAGTCTTCTCTTGAAAAAATACTGCAGTTAATGTATGCATATACCTGCTGAAGCACATAAATATATACAGCAGAAAAAAGTGAACACATCCCAAACCCAGCCATATTTTGATCCTGTGAAGGACAACTTGTTTGACATTCTCTGTATCCTGGACTTGCAATACTACACACCTTTACCCATCAAAAAACATGGTGCAACATCACAACAGAGCGAAGAACATTTATGGAGACAAGTTTTTGATGCCTGTCTATGCTCTCCTGTGCAGGGCAACAGTGTTTCAAAGAAGCAGTGAAATATTCCTCATGCTTTTCCTTTGGGGCTGATGTAGAAATAAGAGGAAAGGATGCCACTGAGAGATACAAAAATAGAGGACTAAAAAAAGCCATCCGTACATGATGTCAGTAGAATTGCCATTAAATACAGCAGCACTTTCAGATTTTTCTTTTCTTTTTAAAGGGTAGTGCAAGGAAGATGACTCACCACTAGCAACGCAAACAAAATGACTCCGCAGCTCCAGACGTCTGCTTTCCTTCCATCATATTTTTCTCCCTGCGCAGCAATGACACAGAGGTTCAAAAGACCAATCACTAGTAAATGAATTAATTATCCTTGAAGAATGAGAGAGGGGAGAATGGGAAACCCCACATTTCAACTCAGCTACCTGTTTCCCAAGGTGGCCTTCCCAACTAGGAGGAAGCCACTACACAGCCAGCTAATTGAATTTTTTTGTGAACATCAGCTTGCAGTCTTATCTGAGATCTCTGAGAAAAGGCTCAGAAGTGGGAGCAGGGCAGGAATGGTTGACAACTCACAAATTATCAGATCTGACATTTAAACAGAGTAACAGGTGCATTAAGGACATCAAGAAGGTGTGTTTCTCTGCCCTGGTTCTCCAGGCTCTTCTTCTCTGCCCTTCTTCTTCTTCAGTAACACCAGCCATGTTATTTGCAAACTAATAGTGTTGCCTGGACAGTCTCTCCTGTGTGCTTCCTGCTTGACTTGACAGTAGAGACATGATTTGGAAGAGGGCAGTCTTGGGCACTGAAATCTTGGATACTTATTTTCAGAGGACAAAGGGAAAGCAGAGGGGAAGAATATTGTTTAGTGGAAAGAAACATCACTGACAGTCAACCCCAGCTCTTCTACTGAGATGACAGCTACACCGGAGACAGGAAAGCTGAGGGTCAGAAAACGTCCCTTGGGCCAAAAGATCAAATTAATCCAGGCTCCTGTCTGATCGCATGGTGCAAAGGGTACTGTGAGAATAACACGTAATTATTTCCCAATGTGGCTTGAATCAGGGCTGAGCCAAACAAACTGAACTCTATTTAGGATCCTTCTGTCCTTTTTTTTCCCTCTGCCTTGGGCCGATTTCTTGTACAGAGGATCTATCTGCATACTTGCAATGAGGGACACTTCAAAAAAGGTATTTATGTACACTAATATTAACCAACTTACCCGGATGACTTCAGGACAAGCATAATGTGGTGATCTGAAAGACAAAATACAGTCAGATGAGCATGTAACAGCCTGGTATTTATGGTTATGTGCATTTCCATTTTGTTTAGCAGAATGATGACAGACTTGCTTATACACAATACAAGTGCGCAAACCAGCACATTTTTCCTTACTTCAATAAGAACACACTTCTAACAAGCTCAGAAAATGGTCAAGAACTAGCCTAATTTAAAACTCTATGGGCCTGCTATGAATTTCTTCAAAGCAAGGAATGAAGGGAAGACAAGGCATATTCTGTGAGTACCGAATTCCAGCTCTCTAATCCCACCCTTTAACTTTGCCTTGTATCTAATTAAAAGGAAGGCCCACACTGCAAAACCTTTTACAGGAAAAAAGACAGATGCATCCCTAAACGATGTTTGGTATCTCTTCTGCTAAGATGACTCTCATTTATATCAGTGGTCACAAAAGCTGCCAATACACGATTGCAACATGCCTTATTTTTTTTTGCTTTAAAAAAAACGAAAAAGGATGGACAGTAGCACTATTACCTGGCGAGTTAATATATTCTTTTCACATCCTTCCACTCATATATCTCTTGTTTGATTCCTGGCTGAGAAGAGTTAATTACTTCAACTTGCCAGGTAATAATTTTAATTCCTAAAGATTATAGCCATGGCTATTTATTTTATAGCCTTCATTAAAGTAACTTGACAAGTAAAAGGGATGCAAACTGTCTGAAACCCGTGTGCAAATCATGCTATTGTTTATACTGACACCTCCCAGCAGTCCCTGAGCCTGTCTTCATTTGTACATGTGCTTCTTGTGACAACTGCAATCATGGCTGGGCAATACCTGTCTCACAAAGTAATGAGCAAACCAGAAGTACAGCGAGGTTAGCTTTGTGCTAGGATGCTATATTAATGCCCAGTGAGACAGCCCATTAATTGAATTTCCATACACACTACACTTATCTTATGGCAAAATACCATCCCATGGGCATGGCATGCCCTGATTTGTTATCACAGCTTTTGGCAGAGCATGACAATAAATGCATGGTACACTTGGGAGTGCAGCTACCTTGACAGCAAAGCTTCCATGATGAGAGAGAAAATACAGTTGATCCCTCACGAATTTCAGGAAAAGTGGAATTCAGCAGCTTAATCCAATATTTAATACAACACCAACCCTGGACCCATTTAAGAGATGGGCTATTCACAGGTATTCTAACCAGTCTGTCTGCTCAGTGGTGCCTTAGTTTAGACTACATTTTAAAAACCTCAGTTCAGAAGTCAAAACAGATAATGAAAGCCAGAGCCTCCCTCAGAGAGCTGGCTAGAGCTGCTCATTGGAAGACCAGAAATAATAGTCTTGTGTCTAGTGGGCAGGACAGTCTACCCAGGCTCTCTCTGTAGCTCTGTCACTGACAGCCATGGAAACATGGACAAGATTATTTAACATTTTTAAAAGCTGCAGTTGGCCTGTTTGAAAAGGGTGACCAGAACCTCACCACAAGTCTACTCTTCTGATTAAAGAAAGCAATGCAGCTGCAGCTTTCACACCACAAGAAAGTGAAGCCAGAGACACTGCACTGCTTTATGTTATGTACATGTTCCCACAATTCCAAAATATATTGTTTCCTGTGAATTTGTTTCCTTATAGCAAACCAAGAGCTGCACTACACCTATTCTTTCCAAAACCCCAGAGTCTAAACCACAAAAAGTCATAACACTGTACTAGACCATGATCTTGCAAGCTTTTAGAAGACAAATTATTCTTGAGGAAATGCTTGACTAGTGATGTCGTCTTTTTCTCGTATCTATCAGTGGTGTAGAATGTACAGGCCATCCCTAAGGCACATACAAAGCACAAGGAAGGAGCAGCAGCACAACTGGGACTGCAGCCCAGGCTTGACAAGTACAACTCTCTCTAGTGCTGGACTGCTTACACAGAACACTGAAGGAGGGCAGTGTGGGAGCTGTAAGGAACATAGTTATGCAACCGGAATTTGGAAAAAGAGTGCATGGTAGTAAAAAGAGTACAGGAATTACAGAGATCAAGGATATTTGCTCAGTTTAGTCACGCCAGAACAGAATGGCTGGTTCTAACATGTTCTGTACAACTGAGTCACATTAGGTTTATTGGAAAATATATGGGGGGTAAAAGAAGTGCGGACACAGTCTATTTAACCGTTGAGCTCCTGTCACTTAGCATGTTTGAGTCTCTCACTCTTGCATGTATTTTAGGTTCTGCAAGTTACAGCTGCCTCTCTGTGTGAGTCATGAACACACACAGTACCTTAAATGGCTACTACAGGTGGTGCCTGTGGCTGACCTAGAAACTTTATCCAGACTTCTCAAATCCCACATGGTATCCTTTACAGTTCAGCAATATCCTTCAGTACAATCCTCTTTGGATGGCAATGGCACTGGGGTGCACTGGAAGATTTAGTATCTCAATTTGCAGAGTGTTCCTGAATTCTTATTTGTATATTATGACTCCAACAAGGATTTCAGAACTCTTAGTTGCGGGTGCTGAGCAGTGCAATCACCTGAGAGCTTCCTGTGCTAACACACTTGAAAAGAATGTAAGTGCTGGGAAGAACTCAAGATAGGTACATAGGTATTTATGTGTCCCACTAGCAAATGCCCTCAAAATGTTTTCCTTCCTGAGGCCTGCTGAACTGCAGTGGAATGTGCCATAGATCTTAAAAGGCACCACTGAAATTCTGCAAAGTTCTAAGAGACTGGGTGGAGAAAATAAGAGTTATAATAAACCCTTTGAACAAGCTGGGTTCGTTCGATGATTCAACAGCTGCATTGCAACTGCCCAGAGAGCACAGGTTTTTGGCATTGCCATTCTGAATTCTTGCCAGCACACACTAGCTAGGTATCTGCAGCATTATCTTGGCTAACAGCTTTAAAAGGGATCCTCCAGTCAGCCAGAATCCATAAAAAACTCATTTCCATGCTACCAATCACAGATTTACTGCTGTAAAGACAAAACTCGAATTTAATCAAAAATCTATTTATCTTTCTACAGAGTCATGAATATTTCTTTGGCTCTTATCACTAATTATTCAATATAGATGTGTCAAGAGCAACATTCCCTGTCTTTTCCCCTAGGCCACCTCCTCATCATTCTGCTACATCTCTGTGCAGCAAAAGCCCCAGTCTGCCCTTGATAACAAATAAATATATCACTCAGCAAGATCAAGAAACAGTTGCTGCCTGTGGGTACCACTACAAAAAAACAGCAATGTTGGCAGTGTTTATTTCCATGGTGATGTACATTTTCCAAGGCCAGCCTGCCCGGGGCAGGAAGGGCTCTCTGAATGGTCATTCACAGCTGTGACTCTAGGACACAGTAATCTTAAGGACCTTAGGGGACCTTAGAGCATTTACGTGGGATTTAAATCAGAGGAAATAAGACAAGAGAGCAATGGTGAAATCCAGGACAGCTCTGGACAGTTAAATCAGGCATTCAGAAAGAAATGTATATATCCATGATGCATCTTTTCTGAATTTCATCTGAGAAACTAGAGAATTAGTTCTTGATCTGTGCACATCAAGATGTTGTGCAGCTGCAGTAGATCTGAGACAACCAGGGCCATATCTTCAGTGCAGATGTGATGTGCCTGTGAGTTACAGTTTTTTTTACAAAGGTAAAAAAGACCTGCACTGTGCACACACAAATGCATTGGGCACATATGGTTTATCTGGGAACACATAGTAACTGCTCTGCCAGGGAAGTGAAGTGGTTGGTTGATCAGGAAGGACAGGAAAAGCTGTGTGGTCCTACTCCACAGTGTGACAAAATCATGTGCTACACTGCCTGATGGGTTCCTAAGTCCCAGTAAAGATGAGTGTCCATGCCTCAGTCCTTTGGTCCCATGCCTTAAGATGATACATTTTGGGGGAGAAGAAAAGCTTCTTTGAGGGCCATCCTTTAGGCCTCACAGGCAGAGGCAGAGTTTCTGCAGAGGGAGGAACAAGAAGTCTCCTTTCCTCTGTTTTTATTATGCATGAAGTTACCTTGATACAGGATGTTGTACAGCTGCAGAGAAATCCTCACACATCTGGAAGTTGTTGCTGTTTCTCGATTCTAGAGTCCTTCTTTCCCCTCTCTTAATCACTGTCTCCAAGCTGGCTTTCAGAGGCAGGAGTTACCCACTAGAGCAAAAGGCTGCCTCTACTTCCCCCCCATGCTGGGTAACAAAGGGCTGAGATGAAGGCAAAGAGCAGAGGAGTAGCAAAATAGATAAAAGGAATTCAGGAGAGGGACACTGGCATTCCAAGTAGTGAAAGCGACAGCCACAGATCATAGAGAAAAGAAAGACAGGGAGAGACTAACGAAAGGTTCCAGCAGTGGTGGGTAGTTAAGGCTGCAGTGAAGGCAGGAGCTGCAGGTAAGACTATAATTAAGGTAGTAGGTGTAGTTAAGGCTGAATGCTATATTGCCATTAAAGCTTCAACTCAGTCATCTACCTCTGGATGAGAAAACTCAGCATCTAGCCCTCAGCCATCTTACAGCTGTTTACTCCTCAGGTGCAATTACATTTTTGGGGAATCTGTAAATCAGTTCATTAATTATCAGTTCAAATTTTTATATTATGGAACCTTTAAGGGGTTTTAATTTTAAAAATTAACCAGACACTTGTATTAAAAGGGCATAAAGATTGGCAAAAGTTAAGAACTGGTAAAAAAAAAAAAGGTTGAAAATGTTACACTGTACTCTGCAAGTAAGTCAGGTGGATGTGTTGCTCTGCCCAATGCCTCTTTTCTACCTGTGACTGAAGTTGGGAAGTCTGTAGGAATGTGAATCAAATTCTACTTGTGACTGAAGTTGGGAAGTCTGCAGCACTGTGAGGGAACTTTAGTGTCAATAAAGACAAGTTTGCAAGCATGCAGCTGATTGACACATGGGAGAATCAAACTCTCTGTCCCTGCCAGAGAATCCTTCTGTGAAAAAAATGAACAGGTGCCTTTAACTGAGATGTTCACAGGTAATTATGAGTTGCATGTTCCCCAGTTT